AACGAAGATTTTATGGCCTAAATAAGACTAGTGGCAAAATTGTAAATAGATGAAATTGTATTTTAGATCTAACCGAAGAAACTACGCTTTCTGAAAAAGAAAACGTATTCTAGGAATACGCTTTGGACCGCAGGTTTGAACTTAAAAAATTGCAGGGGCACTTTTGCAAAACGGCCAGCCAAATCGGTACCAGCCGAACTAAGCCGTTGAATCAAGATTGAACGGCTGGGAATACATCAGAGAGAGAGCAGACCGGCGTGGCCGGCAGCGAGCTAAGCAGCGAGCTGACGGCGGCGCCATGGTAGGAAACATGTGGCGCACGTAGAACACGGCCTACGGACCACAGGGAAACAAACTGAGGGCACCCGGAGAAAAGAGGAGAGAACGGCGAACTCGGCATTGCAGCTTACCGTGCTACGGAGCGAAGGGAGGCGGCGCGCGGCTCGACGAGGCGAACGGCAGACGACGGCGCTAGGGTTTCACGGTGGCTCAGCGACTTGGCGAGGTAGTGGCTTTGGCAAGACTCGATGGAGAGGCGGCGCGGTGCGGGGCTACTATTTAAGGCCAGGGAAACTTGGAGCGCACGCCGAACGGAGTCATGGCGGCGACGGAGTCAGGGGCGGCATTAGTGTCCGGGTAGGAGACGACTTAAGGTTGAAGATGACGCTGACACGTGGGTCCCAGAAGTCAGCGAGACGCGTGGGAGAGAAAAAGGCAGGCGACAGTGCTTGGGCCGACTTCTTTGGGCTATTATGGAGAGAGAAGAGCGGAGGCGCGGGGGACTGGCTCTCTGGGAAGATGGGCGGAGCAGCAGCTGGTGCGGGTCATGAGAAAGAAAGCAAGGCCGAGCTGGGCCAGAAGAGAGGGAGGAGGAAGAGTTCTTTTTTTCAATTTCATTTTCAAATCTAAATTTAAATTCTTTTGAAATTTTGATCAAACTCATACATCAGAAAAATAAGTATGCATCAACATGAATGCACAAATATGTAGCTATACCTTATAATTGATTTTAGTTTTAACGAAGTTATCATTTTTTTAAATTTAAATGCTCACAAAATACATAATTAAATCATTTTCTCCTATTTTAAAATCTTGCAAATTTTAGGGTGTTACAGCCAATACCTAAATTTGACGTGTTATGCACGACATGTCCATGCACCTTGCCAACATGGAATCGGATATGAATGTCACCGTTATTACCATATTTTTATACGGATATGGATCTTGTCGAATACTAATATAAAATGAATGTCTCGGATTCGGATTTCTATTCGGATATTTATTCAATTCAATAAATATATAATATTATCAATTAAATTAGTTAATAATATTTATCAATTAAAGCAATTTATTTATATAATTATTTATCATGAAATTATAAATTGTGTAAAATAATTTACATCAATAAAAAAATAAATTAAAGTATTAAAATAATTTTAGACTTTTTTTTTGATCCGTTCATTTTTTTGTCCGTCTTTCCCTAACTAATTATGTGAATATGGAAACTGTTCGTATGTCTGCAACTCCCATGTTTAAATAGCTCTATCCGATTATGAGAAACCTGAATAGAAATACAAACGCAAATAGAAGATTCGCATGGAATCGGATCTGAATGTCACCGTTATTACCATATTTTAATACGGATATGGATCTTATCGAATACAAATATAAAATGAATGTCTCGGATTCAGATTCCTATTTAGATATTTATTCAATTCAATAAATATATAATATTATCAATTAAATTAGTTAATAATATTTATCAATTAAAGCAATTTATTTATATAATCATTTATCATGAAGTTATAAATTGTGTAAAATAATTTATATCAGTAAAAAATAAATTAAAGTATTAAAATAATTTCAGACTATTTTTTTTGTCCGTTCATTTTTTTGGTTTGTCTTTCCTAACTAACTATGTGAATATGAAAACCGTTCATATGTCTGCAACTCCCATGTTTAAATAGCTCTATCCGATTCTGAGAAACCTGAATAGAAATACAAACGCAAATAGAAAAAAATATAAATTAGGCATAAGTCCATGACAACAAATTTATCATCAATAAAACTAAAGGAAATGTTATCATAATCGCAAACGTGCAGGCACACGAGCAGAGCAATAATGCTTTTCTCAGGAAATCATCGGTGGGAGAACTCGATTCCGACAGGAAAAATTGAAGACAGCCAAAACCAATGAACGGCCCCTTTTGAGAATTCGTTTACTAGAGCCAAAATGTTTACAGGAGGAAACTAGCGGCGGCAAACTGCCATGACTCATCAGAATTCCATATAAATCATATAACTAATAAAGGGAGAGTTGTACGTACATTCTAGATTTTTATGATCACACGGATAATCTAGATTAATCCCAAATATATACCTAATTATTAAATATTAAAGAGCAAAAGAAACTCGGCAAGGAATTATATTTGATTTTTTTTCTCCCGTTGCAACGCACGGGCATATTTGCTAGTACCAAGATAAAAACACAACATGTTAGATAAAATTTCACAGTTTCTTCGGCAGCAGTTTGCGCTCAACATATATCAATGTCAACAATTGACTCATCCTTAGTTTACAAATGTAAACCATGGCAATAAATAAAATTACAATAATTCAGAGCAAGTGAAGGAAAAAATGAACTGCCACCATTCGACACAGCTGCTTCTTGTGTAGCAAGAAAATGGAGCTAAAGAAAGCAAAAATACTACTGCTTCTTGCATAAATTTAGGTGCATCCAGCCAAATGTTCTAATAGGCAAAGAACAAACATAAATTGCTGATCAATTGATGCTAAACTGTCTTCTCAGGCTCAGTGAAAATAAGGTTTCAGAATTAGTTGCTTTCACAATCTCAAAACTATAGAACCAAATGGATTATTGACAGAGCATGTAGAATAGTAGAATACTTGCAGCCTTCAGTACGAAAAACTGAAGCAAGTAGATCTAGTGATGCGATTTTGGAAGTTCCTGTTTTCACGGTAAACACTTCGTTGCTGTGAGGTAATAAACTTCAGGCACATTGTCCAAACCTATTGGTATTGTGAGTTAAATTTTGGTGCATTTCGTATAGATGATGAAAGCAGGCCCTATGACATGCACAACAAGCAACTATAAGAGTAAAAATTCAGTTACCCTTGTGTTCCTATCTCCTGAGAGGCGTCATGGTGGCCTCCTTCATGCCGTGGTCCCTGACGATGTGGCTCTTGTTGGGGATGCCGGCGTCCTTGAGCGGCCTGGCGAAGTCGTCGGCCTTGGAGGCCGTGAAGGCGTCATAGTTGTCCTCCATCCTGTGCGCGGCGGCCTAGCTCGGAGTCGTCTTCGTCATCGTCCTCGGAGGCGGCGGCGGCGCTAGGGTTGGGGAGGGAGACGTCGACGGCGCCCCAGTCAGCGCCGTAGAGCACGGACGTTGGGCGGACGTGGAGCAGGATGACAGCGTCCCCGGGGCGGAGGTAGTTGGCGATGGCCCAGCGCACGGCGTAGGCGGATTCGTCGGAGAGGTCGACGGCGATTGTGATGCGGCGGTGGGAGGTGCCCGAGGGCGCGACGGCGGCGAAGAAGAAGACAACAGGGGACTCAGGCTGCAGCGACTGGCTGCTGAGCACGAGCACGACCGCAGCGATGGTGATGAAGGCGAGGGGCCATCCCGTTGGCCACCGCGGCCAGTGCGCCCACAGCCATCAGCGCGGCCTCCGTCCGGTCCGCGAACGCGAAGACCCGGTACATCAGCACGCCCGGCAACGTGGAAGTCGTGGAACTCGCAGACCCTGGTCCCGGCAAGCGTAGGGCAGCGGCGGTTCCCCTAGTCACGCACGCATGGACGGGGAAAGAAACAGAGCAAACCGCTTTTGTACGGGGTGCGTGCCGTGGAGTCCGCTTCACGCCCCCGCTCCGCCCTGGTGTTTCAGTTGGACTCGCGCCGGTTCGGGGGAAGATGAGTCGTAGGGAGAGGAAATCAGAGCAGAGGGGGAGGGGAGATCGACGCGGGTACAGGCGGCGGGTAGGTTCCTAGCGCGTAGAAAAATTACGGAGCTGAGGGGAGATCGACAACAGGAAAGCGTGTTTCGTTACGTAAGGCCACCTTAGTTAAAAAAAAAAATTCACATAAAAAATGCTATAGTAGTTATCACATCGAATCTTGCAAAATCAAAACATATTCAAGGATGGAGATCTCAAGTGGGTTGGGAGTTTTTAGGTAACAGGTATTTTCTAATTCCATCGCTCCTTTATAGTATACATATAGAATAGATATAGAGCGAGTGACTTCAAGATAATAAACTGATAAAAACATATGCTCTTACATACTCCTTACTCATTTTTAAATACTCCCACTAGACATAAAACCATGTGTTTAGAACAAGATTTTGTTTTAAATCTTAAAAACTACAAACATGAATAACTCTTTGTTTGAAAATATGTATTTTAGAGGATTCCAAAATATATTTTTTAGAAGAAATTCGCGTTCATAGATATGAATATGGAGTGGTTGATAAATTTTGATGTTAGAATCGAGAAGATCCTAAGCACCTTGCGGTTCATTGTACAGTACGAAATTAGTACCCGATGATTTCTGGTCGTTTAGCGATATCTGGACACTGAATTACTACTATATCCTTTTGCCAAATCGAGTCTAGGACTAGGAAACGAGTCGGTCGGTCGATTTTTTCTAAAAGGAAACCAGTCGATTTGAGAGGGAGAGGAAGGAAAGAAATCAAGCCATGCGCGTGGCGAATCCTGTCCGGCCATGGTCAGGTCGGACTCCCCTCCCTCGCCGCACCCTCCTTCCCGTATCGAATTCGAGCTCGTTCCTTCGCCGATCCAGCGAACTCCGTAGGTCACCCGGCCGCAGCCTACCATAAAAGGCAACCCGCCGCGGCGGCACCGCGGTACCCAACCAACCGCATCCACTCCCACACGGACACGGCACGGACGAACGGCTCGCGCGCAGCCTTCTTCTCCTCTGCAAGAAACGAGACGCGAGGAAGAGGGCAATCGACATCCGATGGCGGTGCCGGACGAGGCGGCGGCCGGCGACGGCAGGCCGGTGCCGGTGGAGATGAAGAAGTCTGCGTGGACCAAGGAGGAGGACGCCGTGCTGCGGGAGCAGGTGCGGCTGCACGGCCCACAGAACTGGGCGGCCATCAGCGAGGCGCTGCCCGGGCGCAACCCCAAGTCGTGCCGCCTCCGCTGGTGCCAGCACCTGAGCCCCGTCGTCGACACCGCCAGGCCCTTCACCCCGCAGGAGGACGAGAAGATCATCGCGTATTACCGCAAGTACCCCAACAAGTGGGCCACCATCGCGGGCTTCCTCCCGGGCCGCACCGACAACGCCATCAAGAACCGCTGGCACTCCGTCCTTGGCAAGGTGTACCAGCAGCAGCGGGCGGCTGCACCCATCCACTACCGCCTCGCCGACGGGACGTTGGTTCTGTTTCCATTGGCGCCGGGGGATGTCAAGGCGTTTGGCAGAGACATGATGACCCCAGTGCTCCACCACCCGCCGCCCGGCGTTGATCTGAGCGGCGCGTGCCTGAAGCTGTTTCCGCTGGTGGCAGGGGATCTCGTCAGGGGCAACAATGCGAGCGAGGCAGCGGCGATGGATGTGGATTACGGCACCGATGAATCGCTTGTCCAGCTGAGGCTCTGGCCGTCTACAAACCACGACGGCGGCGTTCAAGGCGATGATGGTGCAGGCAGTTCGAGCCCCTAGCAGATTCTCATGTATCTGCCTGAATCTTGTTGTCCTTCGATCCCTTGGATGTCTTTGTTCTGAACTTCTGAATTGTAACAAATTTTCATGACCGACTGAGCATGCGATGTTGGATAAGATAGAGGTTAGTAATAATCTAGTACAGTACGTAGCTACTACTACCTAGGAAGCCAGGTCTGCATTAGTGGAGAAATTGTACCGGAGACTGAAATTGAAATACAGAGGGCCGGTTTAAGCACTTTAGTTCTTCTATATAGTTCTATTAGTAACAATACTAGTGCGTTGCTCTGTTAAAGGATAACATAACTCACTGTTGCTTTCTTTCTTGAACTCAATCTTTTTCAAATGCTTTCAACAAATTAAAACCCTCCTAAGCACTATAGGCATGTTTGCTTTCGAAACTCGTCTGGCCCAGGCATCCATCACAGGCATTTTTTTTTCAGCGCTTGGGATTGGATGACTTGTCTAAGCATGTATCAAATGGCCCCATGTCTACCATATATTCTAAAGGCACCGTCAGATGAATTCTGCCTTTGTTACATCTATTGTCTCAAATTTATAATACTCATTATTGTAAGATTGTCTAGGCAATAAGCATTTCACTGAAAGAGATATAAAGGATCCAATGAATTACGCGGAAGCAGCAAGTTTGAGCATATTAGATTGTAAGATATATCTTAAATGGTTATTGCTATTAGGAAATGAAATTTTTAGAGAACATGCAATGGACATTTTTTTTTCAATTTACATGCTGACCTAGTATCGACAAATAGATTATCAACTTTGGAAGCTAAGTAGCAAAGCAACCGTAGCAGCAACACCTTCTCTCCCAAACTCCTTTCTTCCCTGCTTCTTTGCTCACACCAAGCTAGAACAGCACAAGCCCTCGTCTGCTCTCCAAAATTCAAAGCAACTGTATCCCAAAATTTAATCCATAGCACCACCATCAGCTACTCCATGAAATAGCTCTTGGATTCCTCAGACCTCTCTGGTTTTCTGTACCAAGCACAGCAAGCCAGCAGCACCTCCTCTCTACTCTCCCTCAATGTGTCGTGTCCATCTCCAAATTGCCATCACCAAAGAAAACTAAACACCTCTAGTCATCCTCATTGGCACCAAAACAAAGCAGGGACTAGCAGTTCTCAGTTTCTTCTTTCCTCTGTTGATTCCCCTTCTATGTTCACCTCCTTCCCAAACACAGAAAAGAGAAGGCGCCATCAATTCCAATCTCTCTCCGTAAAGATCGAGGGTACCATATGCTCCTCCTCGCCGTCTCCACCACAACTAAATCCAAGCCGGTCATGGAGCCCTCCACCACGATTAATGCTACGTTCACCATGAGAGTGAATAATCACGCACGCATCTCCACGGGGTGCATCTCCACACGTGCGTAGCAATCTCGCGAAATGGCAACGTTGCGGAGATAGGGAACCAGTGCCTAGTGGTCCCTATAGGGCGCCAAGATGAGGATAAACGAGAGAAACTGAGAAGGAGAAGATGTGAGATGCACAGGTGAGATGGTTGAAGGGCAAGCGACTGAATCTAAGAACTAGAAGAGGCAGGACGCTATAATTTCTTACACAAATCACATTTGTATGCAGGAGGAATAAATCTATCATGCATTGTTTTTTTTAGTCTTTTTCATGACTCGGGTTGTAGATGCAAAGTAGCTAATTCTTGCCACCAGATTATATCAAAATCTTTAAGCTCACTTGTAGGTTGTCTAATCTTATGATGATTAGGAACAAGGTGGGAAACGAGCTTTTATTCTACCGTCATCTGCCAATCAAGATATTCTTCGGCATCATACTTACCATGAAAAGATGGTATAGTGAATTTAATTTTAGCTTAAGGATCATCATTATTAACATTGCCATGATTGCAATGATTGTAGTTATTAACATTACCTCCCATACCTATATGATTATGTTGAGGACGTCGACGTAGGGTATGCTCGCATGTCGCCCTTTCATTAATGTCGCCATCGTCTCTATACACAAAATAATGGTTGTAGAGGATCTCAACTTCTTCCTTGCCTTTGTTTGCATCATTGGTCTTTGGGCAGTTGGTCTCAAGCTGATCGATCCTCCCGGTCAGCATGGACACTTAGCTTGTCCACACTCTCAAGCATATGGATGAAGTTGCCCATGGTGGTGAATTTGCCCATGGTGGCTTTGACTACCTTGGTCGCGTCCTCTAGCATCGCCTCCTTTAGATCCTACAATTCATTTTTCATAAAGGAATGTTGTTTGGCATGGTTAGTTATAAAAATAATGCCCTACCAACTATTTATAGGTCGATGGAATCACACTCTCACACACATCTTACCATGTTCTTACCAACGAAAAGCAGTGGATGGTACAACCAGCAGGTGGTTGATGATACTTGTGAGGGTGTTTTTCTATACTAGTCCGAAGAATATGTGTAGCTTGGAAAGCACATAAAAAGAAAATATGTATGTGGCACACAAGTTAGTAACAGGTAGCAATGCTGAATTATAGTTCCAAATACCTGTTCTCGTTGCTGTCCAAAAGGTGTTCCAAGTATGTGTGGCAAACAAGGTAATGAAATAAATATGATAAACGATAATAGTATAAGAAACAAGGCACAAGATAGCATATCACTACTGGAAACAAGTGCGTCACCGGGTGATCCTGCATTTCCTTCATTATCGTCTCATAGGCTAGCTTGATGAGGACTCGTGTTAGGTGATGTGGTTGGACTTTAGCGTGATTTGTGATTTATGGTTGTGACTTGTGCTTGGATTTCATTAACTTGTCAAAATAAACATGTGAATGATGATGAACATGTGACTTGTCATTATAATATATTGTGATTTGTGGTTCACAATTATGGTTGTGATATATTATGAGAAAATGGGTTATGTGTGATATATATATATATATGTATATATATGAAATGCTTGTGTCGATGGAATGCAAAAAACAAAAAAAAATTGAAATTTCTGTCTCTTTGCCGAGGGCAATGACCAAGGCCCTCGGCAAAGAAGGGTCCTTTGCCGAGGGCCCTAGCAATAGCCCTCGGCAAAGATTTTTTTAAAATCCTGAAAATTTCTTTGCCGAGGGCCAGGGAGCAGGCCCTCGACAAAGGTTTTAAAAAAAATTCAAAAAACACTATTTCTTTGCCGAGGGCCGGCCCTCGGCAAAAAAAATTCAAAAAAAACCACTTCTTTGCCGAGGGTCGGCCCTCGGCAAAGAAACCGCCAACGGCGCCGGCGCGTGACGGTTTCTTTTCTTTGCCGAGGGCCATCTTGGCCCTCGGCAAAGGCTTTGCCGAGTGCCCGATAAAGGGCCCTCGGCAAAGACCCCTTTGCCGTCTAAAAATTCCCCGAGGGGTCTTTGCCGAGGGTAGCCCTCGGCAAAGCCTTTGCCGAGGGTTTCTGGTCCGCCCTCGGCAAAGCATGCGAGTCCAGTAGTGTATGTCGCATATCTTCCCTTGGGGTTCTCTATGTGCTCCCCTTCTTATATATTGTTTTTTTGCTCTTCTCTTTTTCTCTATTTTTGGGATGTCATCGTTTTCAGGGAAATTTCTATTTTCTATTTTTTATATTTTGATTGATTTAGGAGTACACAAGGACCAATCATAGAAAATTTGAGCTCAAACAAGTGAAAGACATGCTCCGTGAAATATTCAGAAGGTGCACTCAAAAGCGACTAAAATCTTTTGATCTTTGAGGTACGATCTTTTGGATTGTTTTACAAAAAAAAATTGCCGAATCCTCCAAGGGTGGGGTCAAACGGATGCAAAATAATTCTGATTATGAAACATATAAGGTTTGGCATGTTTCGAGTCCGTATGCAAAAGTTGTGGTTGTTTTACGAATAGACTCCGACAACAAAATGGGAAGAAAGTGTGCAAAATTGGTGGTGGATGCTAGGGTTTGATGAAAACAGTGGGGGGAAGATATTGACTCAAACACAATCTAACCAGCAAGAAGACCTTGACCTAGGACAAAAACGCAACACAACGGACTTTGAAACTGAATTATGCAAAAGCTATGACGCGGAAGGTTCTAGGAGAGGAAAATGAATAAGGCGGTGGACTATGGGATGAAGGCAAAAACACTCGAACAAGTGAAAGATGTGAACCTAATGGTATCACCTGAATGTTTGATTATCACTTGACGAGGATGAGTTGTCGATCTTCCGTCAGGCAGAGATAATAATCTTTTTTGTTGGAGAGTGACACACTGATCTGGTTTCATATCTAAAGACCAAATGAGGACGATGCATGGGGATGAAAACATTGTTGCAGCAGAATTCCATAGTGGGTTATGGGGCATGTGGCTGCACGATAGGTCGGGCACGACAGTGGTGGTGAGGCAGACTGGTACAAGGCCCGCGGGTGTGGTGGCCGGGCAAGGCAACTTGGGGCGTGAAGGCGCAGTGGTTGGGTTCAGGCGCATGATCGCAGGGCAGATGTGGGTGGCCTCGACAAGGCATGCACGCCACAGTGAGACCTGTCCGGTGGCATTGCATTGTGGCGGGGACATGTCTGGGCCTGCAAGTGCGTGCTCCTACACTAGCCCAGGGCGCGTTCTGGCCGAGCCAAAAAAAAAAACCCTAACGTTTCTTGCCTGAGCCTACCTGTGGCTTGACCCTATGGCAGCATAGTCTCTGCCTCGGTGCCTCCTCCGTTGCCCTTTTCTCTTCCTCCATGCTGCGTGTTGCCTCAACAGCTTGGTAGATCGAATGGTTGGCCATTGCAAGGCGCAAGCTGGTGCCTCAGGTTGATTCAGGTAGAGGAAGGACGACTGGGGTCTGGCCGGCGCTCGCCAAGGGCCAATGAGACAAGTGGATGGGGCTTGGCTCCAGGGGCCGAGGGAGACAATCATCAAGACAGGGGCAGCTGGGGAAGACAGGATGACAGGCCAAGGGGCCAACTCGGCACTGAGCTACCGACAAAGCAAACAAAGCACGGTGCGAGGGGCCGGTGGACGACGACGTCTACGGCTGCAGGGAGAGGAGGAGGAGGAGGAA